GGGCAGAAACAAAGTACTACTCAGGTTCAGAACCGATATGCAGGCTGTCGGATCCAGCTCAGCCTCACACCCTTAGCCAAATGTATGGTTACTCTCCTTCTGAATGCTTCTCGTGCAAAACACGTACGTGCAAAGACCCTATGTTCCGGAAGGGTAGCCTTCTCTGTTATTATAATTACCATTGTGCTACTTGCGATTTGTATTTCCACAGAGGTCTTTGTCACCTCTACCCCCCGGAGATCAGGCACCCCTTTCATCTCCAACATTCTCTCACTTTCACCTTCTCACATCCCAAGACTCGACCATCTCGTCTGGGGGATCCTGAGTCGTTTACAAGTTCAAGCGGATTTGATTGTAGCTCAGACGATGACGATCCAGATTCAATCAGTGTCATGAGATGCAAATGTTGCCAGAGAAATCTTGGAGATGATTACTATGCTTGCTCCATATGTGCTTTCACCTTGCATTTGTCTTGTGCCAAATTCTCACCACCTCTCACCATTAACCATCCAAAGGCCCATGACCACACCCTCACCCTCTTACCTAGAAAAAACCCATCCCCATGTGATGCTTGTGGACTGTCACTGTGTAGGGAGAATGAACCCGTTTACGCTTGCCTCTCTTGTAATTACATGGTGCATCGTAGATGCATCTACTTGCCCCGTGTTATCAAGATCACGCGTCATCATCATTGTATCGCTTATACGTCCTCTCTTTCTCCCTTGGATTTCTCTTGTGGATTCTGTCGCCAAGACGTCAACATCAATTGTGGGCAATACTCTTGCACTGCATGCTGCCTTTACTCTCTCCATTCAAAATGTGCTACAAGGAAAGACGTCTAGGATGGAATAGACCTTGAAGGTGTCCCCCTTGAAGAAGAAGAAGATACTCCGCCTTTCGAGAGGATAGATGATCAGACGATCCGTCATTTCAATCATGAACATCATCTAAGGTGGTTCCATGGGAATGATGATGATTATGATATTCGCGAGGAAATCAAATTTTGTCAAGCTTGCGTCTTTCCGATCATTTCTGATCCTTTTTACAGTTGTATGCAATGCAATTTCGTTCTTCACGAAGCATGTGCAAACCGTTCTCTAAAGATACGCCTTCCCTTGCATGTTCACCCGCTCAGCCTTGTTTTAATGCCTCCACTACCAGAGATCTTCAAGTGTGATGCTTGCAGTCAAAGATCTCTTGGTTTCGTGTACAAATGCCGTGACGAATCTTGCTCTTTCAAGATTGATGCACGGTGTGCTTCAATTCCCGAGCCTTTTAACCACAAAAGCCATCCCCATCCCTTATATTTCACTTTGCGCAGAGGTAGCTGCATGAGGTGTCACAAAGATGAGTATTCTTGGATTTCTATGGTGGAATGCCTTGAATGCAATTCTTTCCTTTGTCTAGAATGCGCTACTCTACCATATGAGGTAATATACAAGCATGACAAGCATCCGCTCACCCTTTGCTATGGCGAAGAAAACACAAGTGGCACCTATTGGTGCGAGATATGTGAAGGAGAATTAGACGCAAAGATGTGGTTTTACAGATGCCAAGAGTGTTGCCTCACTCTTCATATCCGTTGTGTTTTGGGAGTAGACACCAATCTGAAGCCTGGCCATAGTGTGGAAGAAATATATTTTGAGGTGAATATTCTCCCAAACAGTGGTAACTCTCGACCGGTTTGTGAGACATGTGGTTTACGTTGCAAAGACCCACAATTTTTCAAGATTGCAGGAATTTCAAAAACTTATTGTTCTTATGATGGATGTATGGACGATCTTGGTAGGGATGTGGCTTTATGTGAAGGAGAGTAATTAAGGAAGCTGAGAAGAATGAGTGGACATAGAGAAGGCTGAGGTGATTGGTAGATAGGAGAATTGTTGCTTGTAAGTTAACGGGCCTATGTTTCTATAAATAGGACCCTCTTTGCTTTCAGAGTCTTTTTATCTGTTTTGTTGTTGGGTGTTCAGTGAACCTGAGATAGGGCACGAGTCATTTGTGGTTTGATGCAGATCCAATTGTAATCTTTTGAATATGAAATTCAGGCAGCCTGTTAAAAAGGTCTTATTGTGGTATGTCAACAAGAACATGAGATTTTACCGTTTTGTTAGTTAGGAGTTAGAACAGAGAAATGAAACCAGTTTCTTATTCGGAAATCAAAGAGTCTTTATTACATTCCATCTTTCCATCACTTAGTGGTTTTCGAGCTGGAATCTTCCCATCTCGAGCTTTTGCTGGGGTCGATGGATCGAGCAGACTGTTTCTTATAGGCCCCTATGTCTTTGATGAGAAGGTAAGACTTATTTAATACGCCTCTGACTTATTTGCGCGTCACTGTTCTTCTTCTTCTCTATCTAAGCGGAAACTCAGTTGTTACAGTTCACAAGTAATCTCTCCTTGAAGCTTTCTCTCTCTACCAATTAAAGCA